TATTCTGTTTCCTGGTATGTCTGACTTGAATTCACTTTACTTTATGTTGCATTAGGTAAAAACTTAACGTCTAAAATTACTATAATAAACTGGAAGTTTTCAGCTGCAACCTGATTTCTAATAATATTAAGGAACATCCAAACATCCTGTATATTTTGTTATTTTTACATTTCTAACCCCAATTGCACAATGTCAATCGTCTTAGTTATTATGCTACTTTGTTTTAGTTTTACCCATCCCCCTGTTTATTATGGCATTCTAATTCCTAATTGTAATTTTTATTCAACCCCTAACCAGAAATTGTTCTGGAACTTCCCCATCCATTTGATATAAATACACGAATGTACAGCCTAGATGACGACTTCGTCGAAAAGAAAATTTTCTTCGCTGCAACCGTCTTTTTATTCCCTATGATCAAATGTGTATATTCCGTAACATCTAAGTTATTCACATAATGTGTACTTTAGAGAAATCAGCAGATAAATGTTTTCTGAATAATTAATCAGTCTGAATATGACAATTTTTCTCATTAGATTTATACTCGAAATAACCTCTGAACGTTTCAGTAGTCACAAATTGTTACCAATAAATAAACGATAGCCACGATTCTTTGTCTGGTTTGTGAACCGGCATCATGTATTTGCTCTATCGACTCAAGGACCCGATAAATCCAATCCAGAAAAATTGTGTAATTTACCAAATATCATGTAATGACTGTGAAATCAGCTGTATAAATCAAGTTAGTGGATCAGGTTCGTTTGGATTATCGGAATATAGAAATTTAGCTACATATTTTCAATTTGACACTAGTCAGTAACTAGTGTAATATGTCTAGTCCTATCTTTGGTACACACTGAATTCTGTTAGTCAAGTTTGCTATGTGGCCACCATGCCACTAGGTGGCTCACTATCACGGTGTACTATTGTAACAACAGAAGACAAGGGCCAGGCAACAGATCAGTTTTATTACGAAAACCAACAGGTATTTATATGTATTTTACGTACATTAATAAGGCTCTGCCCGCAGAAAGAAGGCGGTCTTCTGATTGGTTGATTGCAAACAAAACGCAGTCTTCTGCTTACTCGTTTTCGATATTTCTCGGAAATGCGAGCCACTTGTCTGCGAATCATATTTGTCCACGTCTAGGTCAGCTGTGATCGGTTGTTGAATCAGCCTAGATTAATTTCCACCAATCAGCGTAGATCAATGTCTACCAATTGGCTAGCAGCTTGCTCTCACCACACTCGTCCCCCGTCAAATAGCTTGGACTGAATTCGGCTCGGTCTTCTCGGTTCTTGGGGCTTTGCTCTGTTATCTTGCTGTCTGGAATCTCGCCGCTTGCGGATGTCCACTTGTTTAGCGGTGTTTACCATTGCAATTGTGTCTGCGTAACCCCATCTCGAAGTGACCATATATGGTCCTTCCCACTTTGGAAACTGTTTGCCTGACCCTGTCGCACATTCGTAGGTATTTCGCCTCACACTTCCATATGCTGCTTTCTCCCGACCTCCCAGCAGCGTCCCAAGTAGCAGCCTTATCGCTGACAGATCTTGAACGCCACTCAACTGCGAATAAGCCTCAAAGTCCTGCCCGAAGATCCATATGTCTTCATCAAAAACAGCAGGGCATAGGCTTTCCATTTGTCGGTAGGCAGCGACACCAAATGTAACAACAGAAGACAAGGGCCAGGCAACAGATCAGTTTTATTACGAAAACCAACAGGTATTTATATGTATTTTACGTACATTAATAAGGCTCTGCCCGCAGAAAGAAGGCGGTCTTCTGATTGGTTGATTGCAAACAAAACGCAGTCTTCTGCTTACTCGTTTTCGATATTTCTCGGAAATGCGAGCCACTTGTCTGCGAATCATATTTGTCCACGTCTAGGTCAGCTGTGATCGGTTGTTGAATCAGCCTAGATTAATTTCCACCAATCAGCGTAGATCAATGTCTACCAATTGGCTAGCAGCTTGCTCTCACCACACTATGAGTTGTTGGTATTAGTCCAAACAGCTGAGTGGTAACGTCTCTGACTGAAGCACTGGATGAAGCGGGTTTGAGTCTCAGAATGGATGTGAGCTCCTTCAAGGTTGTAGATACACTTCGCTGACTGATGAGTACCAGCTAGCACGAAACGTAGATGGAGGGCTCCCTGCCGATTGCTGCCAACCATCTAATGACAAATTTAGCTACACCTAGAATGATTAACCTTCCTGAGTTAAATAATTTAGAAAAAAGCTTGGCTACTGCAATGCATTCACACAGTAATGTATTATTATTATTTTCTTCCTTCATGTTCCCAGTGGAACATAGGGCTTCAAGTTAGAGCTTTTAAGTTCCGATAGCAGTGATAATTTATTTTTAGGGGTTGAGGTTGCTATCCCCATGCTTAACCTTCCCTCTTTACCGGTCTTGTTACCGGTGTAACGAGGTAAAGGAGTGCATCGGCCGGGTATCGAACCTTAGACCACGTGAGGTCTGGTTGTAGAGCATTCTACCGCTGTACCACCGATGCACACACAGTAGGGTAGAATAAGGTGAAAGTTTTAAAAATAATATAGTTAGGTGGAGAGACAGAGAGAGAGAGAGGTGAATCAGCCAAAACTTTATCCAACGAATCCACACTAAACATGTGCAGCTGAGATGATGTTTGGAAAATTGCAATAAAAAACAAGGGGGAAGAGAGAGGATATAGCAAATTATGAAGCCCTGTGAATACATCGAAATAAATAAGAGCAATAAATTGTGGTTACAACTTGATCCAGTTATTTATATTGCATCACTGTGTGTTATATAAAATAAACCTATCTCATATGATTGGTAGGAGGATTTCATCATGAGCTGACATCAGTTAGAGAACCAGTGGAAAACCTGCGGAGAGTACTGGACATCTGTTTCGTCCTGGTTCGGCTATCTTCACAGTAGGCGCCCACCGGGGCTCTAACCCAGGACCTAATGGTTACAAGACGTTACAAGGCGCTGTCCAGTACTCTCGGGTTCTCCAGTGGTTCTCTAACTGACGTCAGCTCATGATGAAATCCTCCAACCAATCAAACAAAATCCCTACAAAACCAATACTTGAAAATTATTTCATATGAGGTTATACTCTGCTACTGTGCCCAAACTCTCTAATTTATGTTTAAAAGCTGTTTTTTAAATATCAATTCATTGTTAGGAAATAAACTAACTGACGTATACTGTATTGCATTCAAAGCTTTTTTTATTAAAGTACTTGTTTCTGAACCGTTTTAATTCATGAAAACCGGAGTATAACTCCACAAGAATTAATTTCAAGTATGAATAGGGATTGATATCGGATAGAGAACCATCGAAAACCAGGGAGTACTGAACAGCTGTTTCGTCCTGCTAGTCTGGAACTCATTACCAGTACACACCAACTGACAGGGTCCTAACCTATAACCTTCTGGTTAAAAGTAAGCAACCTCGTAGATCATTCAGTCACTGGGACCCGAATTCATAGCCAGCCGATGAATCACTCCTCAAACCAATTCCTGATCTTAGCGCGACACGCAGCAGCCATTCTCGTCATTGATTATCTGTCCTCACCTCCGACCGATTCGGATTCCATTGTAACTGTAGTGAAGTTACACATGATTAAGTAATAAATTTTTTGTTGCGTATCAACAAAAATATATTTTGAGCTGAACATAATTAGTAGTGGTGTATTAATATATTCTTCTCTTTAGTGGTTAAACGAAGTCAAGCGTAGGTTACATACTCCACGTTTTGACGTGATGAAGCAACCAAATGCTTATTGTTTTCACGCCAAGCAGTCATTGTTATTCAAGTGGCATAATAAGCTGGATGTGAGATGACGTAATTTATTTTCAAAATAAAGACTAACGGTGGAAGAAGGTGAAACTGGATAGTGAAGGATTCACGCCTACTAGACTATCAGCAAGTAATATAATCCATGTGTATTTTCATCCTTTAGATGAGGCATGCATGTATTGTCTTGAGAAAATGCAAAATAACAAGAGACATTTAGATCCTGAGTATTCACTCCCATGAAACCATAAAGTCAAATACGTTGATACGATTGAAGGAGTTTGGTGTAGTTGGTAACCAGCATCCTGCGTCTAGGCCTTTGTCTGATGCTAGCTGGATCCTGTCAGTCAGATTTATAGTGTACCCGCAATACTAGGTAGCTTGATATCACGGTGCTCTCTGAATTATTACTATTAGTTCGTCGGAGGCAATCGGCGGGAAGCCTTGGAATTAGCTATCGTGTTTGATGATACTCACCAATCTTCAAGGCGTATCTGAAATCTTAAACGAACTCATATGCCTCCTGAGATTTAAACTTGTATCTACTAGTTCTGCAATCAGAGAAATTACCACTGAGGTATTTAGGCTGGCGACTGACCTTCTGTAGAACTGTATTGGATGCTTTGATTGGACATCTGGTGTTATTCATCCACTCTTTGGTGTTGACGTGGAGTGGATCCTACCAGTCAAAGTTCAAGACTTCCTACCTACGACCATCTAGTACTCATCCTGAATTCCACTGATAGTATTTTGGTAAATAATTCCTCAAGGTTGTTAATATACCGCGTTTTTCATTATATATTGAATGGTATAAGTTTGTTTGTCAAGCTGAAGGTATGCAATGAAGCATCTGGCATTCTGTAACGTTACTTTTGACCATTCCTACACGATCTCTAGCTAGTTAAGCAAAAGTCATCGCACTATGAATCTGATTCTGAAGTAAATCTCGTATTTTCGACGATCAGTCTGTTGTTTCACTCGTCTCTTATCTCACTAGGTCAAGCACCTTCGGAGTTACAGAACAGAAACTTGCGTTCATACACAAAGTTTGTTGTGTAACTGCCAAATTCTTCCGCTTGCTAAACTGGCCAAAAGAGACCAGAGGAGTAACCACGTGTTTCGTCATTATTACTAATACCCATTGGTGCAGCTTAGAGTTTAAAACGCATCCGAATTTAAAAGGAAATTGGAAAAAATATAACACACTCACCTGTATGATGTTCATAAACTTTGGTGAAATCGCTGGGATTCGATGACGAAAGCATATACAAGTACCAATCAGACCAGAAATGATCAACTGTCGGGTATAATAAGAAAAACAAAAATGCGACACTAATTTACAAATAAATTATAATTTTAAAATTAAACATTATGCAAAGGAGAAGGTAACAGATAAACTTATCATCTATTATGAAGCTTAAAGATTACTCATTAAAATTCTGTTTACAAATGTGAAACTTTGTACAAATTACATCAGTTCAGGTGATCACACTTTCAGAGAACAACTGCAAATATTCCACTGAGTTCCGTAACGAACACATGGCTTCAGTAGTTCATCTCTTCGTCACCCTCTTCAACGACTTCCCATAAACTTTCATTTCTTCTTTATATGATATCCTCTATATGCCCCTCTGGCCTACTCCCAATTCATCATTTCTCACTTGACTTTCACAGGAACGTGCCTCTTAATCTATTATTCACGTTTAAAATGTGAGCATATGACCACTGTATTTCCTTACTTGAAATTAAAATGAACTCTAAAGGAAGTCCTGTTAGGCTTGGACTATTTCAATTTTTGGAATTTAAAATAAGAAGTGCTTCTAGTGCCTCTCCTACAAATTCGCGTATTTTTAGAGTTTCAAGCGTTCCTTTATTACTTCTGTAGTAGTATATAGTTGTAAATTCCATTTTTGACAGTATTTTTAGTTTTTTTCGATTCATATAAAGAAACTGATGGTTGAAATTAGAGTGATAAAATGACAGTTAAAAAGGATTGGCGCTAATTTCAAGTAAGAATTTACAAATTACGAAAATGAATGAAATTCCATTATAGCGGTTTTCTATATGTGTGAACAGTCGGTTTAACGATCAATACATTCGCTGTATGAGGGATATGCATATAAGAGATTGAAGAAGATCATATTGCTCTCATCGGAGTATTTCTTTTGGAGTTTTTATCCAGATCTGAGCCGAAGATGCTTTCCAGGAAGACAGTGAAGGTTTCTCAGTTAAGCTACTCGGCTCAGAGAGAATACAAGTGTATTAAAAAGTCAACCACTTTGTAAATGTAAACCCATATCTGTCACACTGATATCTCAGGAACCAAAAATATCAAAAAAGAACTGTAGATTTACGTCACTGAAGAGCCTGAAATAAGTAAAAATTTTATCTAGCTTTCGCAAATGTATATTATATACATAAATATATATATATATCAGTGACTGGATGTTTCTTGTCAACGTACTGAGAATGATTCAACTCAGAGGGCCCAGTCCTTGAATTCAATCAAATTCTGATGATTTCTTTCAAAAGACAAGTAATACATTGAATCAGCTAGTCATTAAGTGCCCGACGTATCCCTATTGCTGAAGCTTTGGTCATTGAAATAGGAAAACTGGACCTTTGTATACAGAAAACGTCTGTTCAACTGTTTCTTCGCAAAAACAAGATGGTGGGTGGCATTTATAGAAAACCGACACACTCTAATAAAGACAAGTTGAGTTTAATGTCTATATAATCGGGCGAAAAGCCTGAGCAGTAAGTCAGAATATTTAAATAATGAAATCAAATAAACAGAAAGGAAGTATTACTATTGAATAAATACTACTACTACTACCCACCAGAATTTATTCAGAAATATATGGATAGCCATAGAAAATGTAAGATTAGCTATGGAAATGATAAAAATAACAAGAAATAATGTGGAATTCAAAGCCTATGTAGTACTGCCATCTGAAGAAGGAACGTCAGAGTCCCTACATAAGATTTACATTGTGTTTGGAATTACGGTAGCAAGCATTTAAACTAATCAACTCTCCTAGAGATCGATTTTGTTGGGTTAAGTACCCAATAGCTCAAATTAAGAGAAATAATCTAATTTGCCGACTACCGTCTAATGACTGTGAGGTCAATTACACAACTCAAGTCAAACCAGTAGATCGGGGTCAATTAGATTATTGCAACGTAAAACTTTAGCTAGCTAGACTTAGAACGACTGACGCTAGTAGGTTAAATAACCTAGAAAAAAGCTCAGCCACTGCATTGCATTCACTTGCATGTAATCTCACACAATAGGGTGGGTGGGACAGGGAGAGAGTATTATGAAGTAATAAAGTTAGGTGGATATAGAGAAAGGTTTAATCACTGAAGCTTTGTTTATCGGTTCAACATCCCCCACGCGCAACTGGAATGACGCGACGCCTATACCGGATATATGGAAATTAGCAACAAACAATAAAGGGAAGCTGGAAAAACCGAACAGAGAGAAAAATATATATAAGACAAATTGTGAAACCATGGGACTAAAACTGATATGACTATAAATGGGAATAATTTATGCTCGAAACATTGTCATCCAGTTGTTATTACTGCATCAGTATGTGATATTTAAAAATAAACTTATCTAATATGGTATTATAACCACCACTCCTACCTAGATCCTGTGTATTTTTCGTTGTAATTATTCAATTTGTAAATCTAGACATCCCTTATCGTTTTGATTATTTTTACTATTTTCAGACTGAACAATTTCCGGTATTATTTAACTTGTCACCGTTCATTAACATAATATAAATTTTTGCAATATAGTCTCATAGTGTTTTAATTGCCTATCAATCTTATTTATTTCTATACCGCCTTCCAAAGTACAAGCGAATTCTTGTCTCTTAACGTCTAACCATGATTATTTTAGACAAAGCAATAAGAAGACATCCGTTCCATCTGCTCTCGCAGATTCCCAACACTTCTATTTTATATCTCCTCGTTTCTGCGGCTACCTGAGCAGCCTTCCCAGCTTCGTACATTGTACGAACATTCCACGTCCCCATCCTTATTTTCGCTTTCATCGAAAGAAGGCACATCGGCTGACTGGCTTCCCGAAGGCTTTCACCAGCCCGCGTCATTTCACTTCCCCGATTCCAGCGAAAAATAAGGTCACTATTTGTAGTTTTAGAATTTTCAATATATTTGTGCGTTGAAGTTTTAGTAGCAATTTGGTTAAGTTTTGGGGGTGGAGTTGCTAGCACCACGCCCCAACCCTCCCTCTTTATCCGGGCTTGGGACCGGCTAGAATACTAGTGACCTAGTAATCTAGGCGAGGTGACATGGAGGAGATCGTGTGAGGAGGAGATGAAACAGTATGGAATAACATGGACGCAAGTGAAAAGTACAGCACAAGACAGAAGCAAGTGGAGACGTGCAGTTGAAGCCCTATGTTCCACTAGGAACCCAAGGGAACAATAATATAATAATAAGAAGAAGAAGACATAATTTGTCTGAATCGTGGAATGTATTTGCGCAACACACATTACGAACAATCTAATCACATCATGGACTTGTCATAGGAATATTTACGAAATTAATGAAGAGTTGAGGGGTAAGAAAATAGACTGAGGTCAAGTTAAAAGGACATATTGAAGGTCAAAATGACAATGAAGATCACTAAATCAAATAACAGAGGTAATAGTAATAATAATTATAATGATTTACTTTATTCCAAAAACAGTACTTGTGATACAGAATGGAATTTTCAGCATTCATCACAATATTGCATCTAATTTCCTCAAATTATAAATAAAATTAATCACACAGAAAATTTTTCAACATTTACATTAGGGGTGATGTCAAAAAAACCATGCAGCATATAAAATGGAAATAATAATAATGATAACAGCTAAGGTAATGATAATAATACAAGTGGAAAGTGCCGTGGGCTTCTTTCACACAGTATTGTCGATGTGGTGTACAAATCCTTGCATGATTAAAAATACTGAATATAATGTTCTCTTAACATGATATGGTGAGGGAAAAAACAAAGATTACAGCAGTCATAGAGATAAGTTGGTGTTTGCAGTTATGAAATTAAAAACGAAGATTCAACAGGACCATAAATATAATAGAAATAATAAAAGTAAAACTTGAAGGTATATAAGGATGGATGGAGGTGATTGTTTATTTACTAGATGAAAAAAGGTTAGTCAATTCTTGCCTGACGCTACTTTCATCACATAAAATACGTGCCAAGTATGTTATCATAGAATTTTTATGCTTAGACGTGCGAGCATACAGTTTTCTGAAGTTACTTCTTGTTCTACCTGAGGAGGTGCAAGGTGAAAGCTGAGGGTGAAATGGATGCTGCAAGTCAGACAAAATCCCTTCAGCAAATTTACTGCACGAAGTCAAGTGCCTACCGACAACGACGTTAACTATGCAGTCCAGTGGAACATCTGTACATCTGTCCTGGCTCGTATCAAAACAAAGTTTACCAAAGAAGGTTTAATATGGTGACGAATTGTTGCTTTGAACGCATAAAAGTGGTTTAAACCTCCTAATTGCCAGCTATGGCTTCCACAAACTTTAGGATACGCCCTCCCCAAAACGCGTTTTATAAATAGGTTTAAAAGAAGTGTGTAAACTTCAATTTTATGTCCCATCTCTATAATATGTTTCGCAAACAGAGGAGCTAGGTCTCCTGTTCTCACCATGAATAGGTTCTGAAGACTCAATTTGCTTCTGGAGTCATTTTGGAATATGCTCTGAGGCCAGCCTTCATTTGCAGAGATCGATGAGTCCTCCCCATGTGTATGTGTGGTCACACGTACATTCAAAATGGTAAATACACTGGAATGTGACATTTTTTCGCATGTTGGAAGGGCTTAGATGAATACACTGGCTTCACATTCTCAATTTTAATGACATTAGGTGCATAAAAAGTACTTTTAGCTGCACCGTTCAATCTCTGTATAGTTGTCATGCTGCTATGATCCCTCATGTGTTGCATTTGATATTATTGTCAAAAAGTAGTCGTAAAACTTCATAAAACATTCACTGAAAATAATCTCTTCGCTGAATAATTTACTCTGATTTTCTATCTATCCTAATGGCAACTATCCATAGGTGATACAGAACCATAATGTCAATACATAGTTAAATCCACCACTTCTCCTAATCTCAGAAATTCTTGTCCCTATAGAAAAAAAGAAAACAACAACATTCATGTTGGTTTGTAGGGATTTGATTGGTTACAGGATTTCATCATAAGCTGACATTAGTTAGAGAACCATTGGAAAACCTGGGAGT